AAAAAAAATAAGACCAGAAACCATAAAACTCCTAGAAGAAAACCAAGGCAATTAGCTCTTTAACATCAGTATTAGCGGTATTTTTTTGGATGTGTCTCCTCAGGAAACAAAAGCAAAAATAAACAAATGGGACTATTTCGAACTACAAAGCTTTTGCACAGTAAAGGAAACCATCAACCAAATGGAAAGGCAACCCACTGAATGGGAGAAGGTATCTGCAAATGATAAAAATGATAAGGGATTAATATCCGAATTATATAAATAACTCACACAACTCAAAACCCAAACAATCCAATTTAAAACATGGGCAGAGGACCTGAAGAGACATTTCTCCAAAGAAGACATACAGATGGCCAAAAGACACATGAAAAGATGCTCAACATCACTAACCATCAGGGAAATGCAAATCAAAATCACAATGAGGTATCTCCTCACACTTGTCACCAGGTTATATTAAAAAAAAAAAAAAAGGAAGTAACAAATGGTGAGAATATGGGAAAAAGGGCACCCTCTGTGTACTGTTGGTGGGAATGCAAAATGATGCAGCCACTATGGAAAAAATATGAAGGTTTCTCGGGACACCTGGGTGGCTCAGTCATTAAGCATCTGCTTTCGGCTCAGGTCATGATCCCAGAGTCCTGGGATCGAGTTTCGCATCAGGCTCCCTGCTCAGTGGACAGCCTGCTTCTCCCTCTGCCTGCCACTCCCCCTGCTTGTGCTTTCTCTCTCTCTCTGACAAATAAATAAATAAAATCTAAAAAAAGTATGAAAAAAAGTATCAAAAAATTAAAAATACATCTACCATGATCCAGCAATTCCACTTCTGGGTACTTATTCAAAGAAAACAAAAATGCTATTGAAAAAACACACACATCCCTATGTCCACTGTAGCCTTACTTAGAACAGCCAAGATATGAAAGCAACTTAAGTGTCCATCGATAGATAAATGGATAAAGATGATGTGGTACACACACACACACACACACACACACACACAGAGACACGAGTATCAGCTATAAAAAAGAACGAAATCTTGCCATTTGCCACAACGTCGATATTATGCTAAGTGAAATAAGTCAGAGAGGAAAAAACAAACACTGGTTGATCTCACTTACATGCGGAATCTAAAAAACAATACAAACGAAACAGAAACAAACTCACATAGAGAAAAATTTGGCGGTTGCCAAGAGGCGGGGAGGACTGGGTGGAAGGATGGACAAAACGGGAAAATTAAAAGGTTCAAATTTCCAGTTATAAAATAAGTGGTGGGGATGTAATGTATCCATAGAGAATATGGTTAATAATATTGTAACAGCTTTGTATGGTGACGTATGGTAGCTAGATTTATGATGGTAATCAATTCCTATGTATATAAATGTTGAATCACTATGTAGGACACCTGAAACTAATATTGTACATCAACTACATTTCCAGTAAAACAACAATAACAAAAACCTCTAAAACTTCTGCTCTTCAAATATGCACTGTTAAGAAAACAAGAAGGCAAATCACTGGCTAGGGGAAATAGATTTGAAATACAAACATACCTGACAAAGAACTTATATCCAGAATATATAAAGAACTCTTAGAATTCAATAATAAGACTAACAAATTTTTTTTTAAATAGAAAGAAGATTCACAAAGTGACTAGATAATCGAACTAAGTACATTTCTACTATTTGGCAATAAAAAAGAATGTACTACTAAAAAATTACAAAACACACAGAGAAATAGAGAACTATGGCCCATTCACAGGAAGAACAGAATTTGATAGAAACCATCCTAAGTAAGCCCAGACATTGGAATTACTGGTCAAAGATGTTAAATCAACTATCTTAAATATGCTTAATGAGCTAATGGAAACCATGGGCAAACTTAAGAGTAATCAGGAAAAAGACATATGAACAAAACAATGTAAAGGAAATCAATAGGCCTATCCTATGAGAAATATTACCGGGAGTTATTCAGGGTGAAATAAAGATAGCAGAGAGTAACTAAAAGCCTTAAGAAGAAATAAAGAACACTGATAAGGATAACTACATAGGTAAATACAAAAGAAAATATTATTATACGTTTGGTATACAATTCCTCTTTTTTCTTATCAGATTTAAAAGAGAAATGAATAAAACAGAGAAGTATAGAAGCAGAGTATTTGTTTTTTTTTTTTTTTTAGATTTTTTATTTATTTATTTGAGAGAGAGAGAATGGGAGATAGAGAGCACGAGAGGGAAGAGGGTCAGAGGGAGAAGCAGACCCCACGCTGAGCAGGGAGCCCGATGCGGGACTCGATCCCGGGACTCCAGGATCATGACCTGAGCCGAAGGCAGTCGCTTAACCAACTGAGCCACCCAGGTGCCCTAGAAGCAGAGTATTTGTATACTATTGGAACTAAGCTGGTATTATTCACATGAGGTTGTTATAAATTTAATCCTCACCAAGACAACCATACACACACACACACACACACTTTATATATTTAAAAATATATAGAACAGGAAAGAAGGAAATCAAAATTGGAAATCAAAAAGGCAACAAAAGAAAAAATTGGGGGGGGGGCACTTGGGTGGCACAGTCCTTCAAGTGTGTGCCTTCAGCTCAGGTCTTCATCTCAGGTCATGATCCCCGCGTTGTGCTCCCTACTCAGCAGAGAGTCTGCTTCTCCCTCTCCCTCTGCCTCCCCTCCCCCTACTCGTGCTCTCTCTCTCAAATAATCTTAAAGAAAAAAAAAAAAGAAAAATTGAGGGGAAGAAAGAAAACCCATGAAAGACATACAGAAAATACCAAAAGTGGAAGAAGTATCTTTCCTTATTAGTAATTATTTTAATGGAAATGAATTAAACTCTCCTATTCAAAGGCAGAGACTGGCAGATTGAATTAAAAAAACAGGATCCATCTATATGCTATCTATAACAGATTCATTTTAAATTCAAAGACACTGAAAGTAACAGGATGGAAAAGGACATTCCAAGCAAATAGTAACCAAAATACATCTAAGACGGCTATACAGTTGACCCTTTCAACAACACAGGTTTGAACAGCATGTGTCTACTTATATGCAGATGTTTTCAATACAGTACAGTACTGTAAATGTATTTTCTTTTCATTTTTTAAAGATTTTTATTTATGTCTTTTTTTGAAAACTTTTTTTGAAGATTTTATTTATTTATATGACAGAAAGAAAGCACAAGCAGGGGGAACAGCAGGCAGAGGGAGAGGGAGAAGCAGACTCCCCACGGAGAAGGGAGTACGATGCAGGGCTCAATCCCAGGACCCTGGGATTAGGACCTGAGCCGAAGGCAGATGCTTACCCAAATGAACCATCCAGGCGCCCCAAGATTTTTGTTTATTTATTTTAGAGAGTGCAAATCCATGCCTGCACATGAGTTGGGGGAGGGGTAGAGGGAGAAAGAGAGAGACTCTCAAGCAGACTCCTTGCTGAGCACAGAGCCTGACCTGAGCTGAAATCAAGAGTTGTATGCCTAACCAACTGAGACTCTAAGGCATCTTCCTTTATTTTAATAACACTTTCTTTTCTTTAGTTTACTTTATTCTAAGAATGCAGTATACAGTACACACAATATGTAACATACATTTGTTAATCGACTGTTTCTGTTATTGGTAAGGCTTCCCATCAAGAGTAGGTTATTAGAGGCGCCTGGGTGGCTCAGTTGGTTAAGCGACTGCCTTCGGCTCAGGTCATGATCCTGGAGTCCGGCAATCGAGTCCTGCATTGGGCTCCCTGCTCAGCAGGGAGTCTGCTTCTCCCTCTGACCCTCCCCCCTCTTGCACTCTCTCTCTTTCATTCTCTCTCTCAAATAAATAAATAAAATCTTAAAAAAAAAAAGAAAAAAAAAACAAAAAAAGAGTAGGCTATTAGTTCTAAATTTTTGGGAGTCAAAAGTTTATGTGGAGGTGCCTGAGTGGGTCAGTTGGTTAAAGTGTCTGCCTTTGTAATGTATGGTGATTAACATAACAATAAAAAATTATTTAAAAAAAAAAAGTGTCTGCCTTTGGCTTGGGTCATGATCCCAGGGTCCTGGGTTTGAGCCTCACATCAGGCTCCCTGCTCAGCAGACAGCCTGCTTCTCCTTCTCCCTCTGCTGCTCCCCGCTCCCCGCTTCTTCACTCTCTCTCTAATACATAAATAAAATCTTAAAAGGAAAAAGTTATACATGCATTTTTGACTGCCTGGGAAAGGACAGGTCAGCACCACCACGCCTCTTGTTGTTCAAGGGTCAACTGACTTTTTATTATTAGGCAAAACAGACTTTAAGTTACAAAAGGTTACAAGAAACAAAGGACATTATACACTAATAAAAGGTTCAATCCAGCAAAAAGATAGAATATAAATGTATGTATCTGCCATCAGAGCCTGAAGACATATAAAGCAAACACTGACAAGAGCTGGATGCTTAAACAACTGAGCCACCGAGGTACCCTAGGATTCTATTTTAGATGGTAGCTCGGGTAGCAACTGGAGAATGAAAAGTGGGGGGAAAGCTGAAGGCATAACAATTAAAAGGCTACTCTAATTGTTCAAGCCTAAACAATAGCAGTAATAATTGAAACAAGTTTTAAAGGTATATTCCATGGGATATGAGAAAAGATAAGACCTGTAAAGATAGTGAGCAAGTGTCATCAATGATAATTCCCAGATGCCCAAACAAGTGAACATAAATGTGGTAATGCAATTAATTTTGAGATGAGGATGACAGTACTGAGAATGTTTTCCACCTTTGTTACTAAAAAATTATTCCCGCTCCTCATTTTGAGTATCTTACAAGTTGTCAATCAGCATCTAACTAAAACTTCATGCTGTCTAAAGGTAGGCCTTTGAAAAGAATTGCTACCTTAACTAATTTTCTAGCACATTATATGAAATTTCTTTAAAATCATTACAGGTTTTATAAAATATTATCTATACGTGTTTTAAATTCTCAAATAGACAAGCAACAAAAATTTTCTGGTTCACACTAGCTCACTTACAAACATTTTCTTACCATGATTGGCTTGCCCTGAAATGTTTTAACTTCTTCTCTTAAGTATTTAAAAGCCTGTTAACAAAGCAGAAAGGAACTTTTATTAGCATTCAAACATTTCACTAAAGCCATCTTTATTCTATCAAGAGTTTGATATTAGCAACCGTCTCCAAACTAAACAATAAAAAATTCTGAAGTCAATTCCATTATGCAGGTGATAAGGAATAAAAAAGTAAAAACACTCCAGTTGAAGTTCACATTTACTATAGATTAATGCAGAAAAAAAAAATGCACAAAAAACAGACCCCAAATTTCTCTACATATTTACAGTCTTCTAAGATGAAGAATTAAAAAAAAAAAAAAAAAAATTCAGGGGGAGACAGGAGAAAACAGAAAAAAAATTAAAGGGAACAAATAGAAAATAAGTGATCCCTCTTACTTTCCATATCATAGATCA